TAAACATGTCAACTGAGGAAATGGCATAAAAAGGCATATAAAATTTTCAACAACCATATTATTTTTGTATCATTTTAAAAATTTTACGTGTATTTTTGTTTTTTTATCTATATATTTACTAAATGATTAATATTAGTTGATTTAATAGCTATGATGCTTTTGTATAATTTTTGCACCAAAAAAGGGTTTATAATATTAAATGTCCATAACAAAATACCCTATGGGAATTTGCACCATAACTCGATATTTTATCTTCTATTTTGCTGTCCTCATAAATTTAAGCTCGTACGCCTCTGTAGCTTTCAGAAATAATACTCCTCCGAGATAAGTTAGTTCTTAATTTGATTAGATTAAGAAAGTTAGATAAGTTAGTTAATTATAAGAAATGTGACACGTTTTTTTTAAAACACTATAATCATCTTTCTTAATACCCCCTCTCCCTCTTTCACTTGATCATGATTGAGGAAGTATCTATAGGGGTAATTTAGATAAAATTGATAAATATAAGAAATGAATCGTATATTTAAGACCAAAACCAACTCAACAATTAAGTCATATATTAAGAACTAGAGAAGTATTTTATAATCAAGCATTCAAAATAATTAATATAAAAAGTTAGGATGATGTATGAAAAATAATTCACTATCTCTGTCTCTTTCATTATAATTAGAGTAATTGACAATAACAACTTAAGCTTGCAAAGTGATCTAACCTCCATCATCTCATTTATAAAGATACTTTCACGTCACTAAGCATAAGGGTTTTTTTTTTTAAAACTAAAAAGATAAGGCTATTGATTCTTATCTATTATTGAAAGGTTGAGGTAAATCCAGCACTCATAAATATTTTATGATGCATTTGGTATCTCGAAGTATTTTCTAGATGCATCAAGCATCTTGAAATACCTTTTTTTTTTTTTACCTTCGTGCTGGATGTATCAAAAAAATATCTTTTGGTACTGGACACATCTAAAAAAAAATATTTTGAGGTGCTGGATAGACAAAAAGTACTTCATAATACTAGATACACTTCAAAAAATACTTCTGAAGCTGAATGTACCACAAAATACTTTAAAGTGCTAGATGTACTCAAAAAATATTTTGAGATGTTGATTGCAACTTAGCCCATTATAGCAACTACTTTCTCTTTTTATCGGATCATGTGGTTGGGTGGGATGTGGTGCAAAGTAAATAGAGGATAATGGGTCGTTTTGAATGACTCAAACAACTTTTAGATCATGATTTACAAAATACCATCTCTCGTCTTTAATATAAGATCTTATTTGACTTTTATTTTAGTTCTAAATATAAGACCCCAATTCACTTTGTCTTTTATATTTATACATTTTTTTTCAAGATAGTCCTTATAACAATAATAGTTATAACCAATACACTTGATTAGTAAGGATGTTTTAAGAAAGGCAACACATATTTATTACAAACAAATAACTTAACTTCTTTCATTAATCTCCTCAAATTAGTCAACTAGTTCTTATAAATAGAACCGGAGGTAGTATAAGTAAAATATATAGAAAGAGTTTTGTTCGATTTACATAAAAGTAATTATAAACGCTTAAATAAGTCAATATAAACAAGTAACAAAAGTGTGTATATATGTGTATATATAGAGAGTTGGCGAAATATTATACGCCTGTGTATGTACATACAAGTGTGTGTGTAAAAGAACGAAAGGTGATTAGAAATAAAATGAGCTCATTGTGGAGTCATTCGTCCGTAGCTTTCTTCTTTTCTTGAGAGAACATGGTTGCATGACTGCGCGTGGACCCAAAACTTTTGAGGTGTTGGGGCAATTAATTTATGTGTAACAGTAGTATTAAGGAAAAATTACAAAAAAAAAAACTACCAAAATAAAAAGAAATGATAAACAAGATTCTGTTATAATATTAGTGTGGATTTTGATAATAATTTTATGAACAGGTCCTTGTATACAAATTTTTAATTTCAACAGTCTTTTGTGATTTTCCTTAGTGTTAAGGATAAAATATAGACTAAAATGTTTTACTTTAATTAGAATCACCCAAAAGCCTTTTTGAAATGAAATTTCAATTTTTTGGTCAGGGATTGTCTCAAATCTCAGTGATCTGTTTCTGTATTCATCAAGCCACTGACAAAAATGTGGTATATCAAATTGGCACATGGCGATCTCACGTCAAATGCCTTTTTCTTTCCTTCGAATCTCTCTGGAGCAATTCATTCTGGAACACAAACGTCAATTTATTGCCTTACCTCGAGGCTCATGCACGTTTATCTTTTTCACTTTTTCATTTTTAAATTAAATAGTATCGCTCGTATGAAACATATTAAGAATGGGTCGCATTATTATTTAAAAATAATACCATTTGCTCCAATTTGTTAGATAAACATAAATTAAATTTGAATAAAAATCATAATTTTAAAAATCGGCACCAATTAAACTACAAACTGGTCCAATGTCGGAGATGGCAAGGAAGCTAGGGGCTTGAAAACTTGTCAAAAATCTTTTTTTAAAATACAAAAAAACTGGTGAAAATCAACCGAACTAATGGTTGAACTGATAACGAATTATTTTATTTTATTTTTAAATCTTATTTTATATTTTTAAGTTACTACTACAAGCTATGCATGTCTTTAACTATATAAACATTGAAAATGAAAGAAAAGTGGGCAAATATGCCGAAAAAAATAAGCAGATACACAATGTATTTTAAAACTACATTTGTATAGAGAAAATAAAGGACCGATGTACAGTATAATGCTTTTTTATTATATATTTTCATTTAAATATTCATTTTTATCATTATAGATAATTAATTTTTATTTTAAGCATACATGGTTTAAAATATATTGATTTATCTCTTTGGATAAAACATATTAATTTATTTATTCATGATTAATTCGATCATATTTGGATTCACTGACCTATGGTTAATTGGCAGTGGCCATTCTTTCGTAACATAAATAAAAACAAGCGTACAGGCTCTGTGTGTGCGTGTGTGTGAGTACTTGGCGCATCCATTCAATTTGTTGCCGTTACGTACGACTGATCTCCTGAGTGACGATGTTGAGTTAAAATGTCGTGTTTGACGCGAGCAGGGGTCCTGTCATTGTTAGTCACCTTTTGAAGAAATTAAAGCTTGCGCATATAACAATTTTGCAAAAAAAAAACAAAAAAACTCGAATTAGAGAATGAAACTTAAATCACGTAAAATCATTTTTATTTGGAAGTGTGATTTTAATTTTATTTCAAGCATTTTATTATGAGTAAAGTATCATCTAATACCTTAATCTTATTTCTTAAATTTACTTAATACCCTAATTTTTTAATAGTGTAATTTTACCTATCGTCCTTTAAATGTAGTGTAATATCTTATCTTGATTTTCTTAACAATGTAATTTTACTTATGATCTTTTGAATATAGTGTAATCTCACTCTTTCTTTTCTTTAAATACAAAAAGTTTATGTAGGTCCCAAAACTCATTAGAGTCTGGACATGCTCTTAATCTCAAAAAACACTTACAAATATATTTATAAATTGCTTACTAACAATTTCACCTTTTATTTATTTAAAATCTTTATTATTCTTTTCTCCATCTTAACAATTAAAACTAACAATCTTATTCCTTTTGTCAAATTATTAATAACTTTGCTATAAAGTAACTAAATTACAATCAAATTAGAAAATTAAAAAATAGGCGGAATTCATAAATTATTTGTTTCGCCAATAGTTGATTGAATCCCACGTGTTAGCTCAATATTTGATTACCGATTTCTTATGTGTGCCACTCTTCATTCCTTCCCCTTTCCAATTCCTGGCACGCACGCCAGCATGTTTTTTTTTTTTGGTTACTCCTTGTTTTTAATGTACTATCATCTCCAACCTTTAATATATAAACTAATTTTATATTTAATTTGGTTTTAAATATAAAAGTTTAATTTATTTTATCTCTTATATTTATTTTTTTAAAAAATAATTCTTGTAATAGTAACACATATTAAAATTTTCATTAAATGATAATTCTAACTAATACATATTATTAGTACGGATATTTTAGGAACTACAATATCTATTTATTATAAATAATTAATTAAATTAAATTTCTAATCTAGTCAAATCAATCAATTAATTCTTATATTACCTCCCGTCTCAAATATAAGAGCCAGTTGACTAATTTAGGGAGATTAAAAAATAAGTAAGTTAGTTATTTGTAATAAATAGATATTACCCTTCTGAAAATATCCTTACTAATCAAGTGTATTGGTTAGAATTACGATTATGAGAAGGACTATCTTAAAAGAAATACAAATATAAAAAATAAAATAAATTAAAATTTTATAATTAAGATTAAAATAAAAATCGATTGTATAACAAAGAATAGTATTAAAAGAGGCCGTGCCAATTAATTAATAATCTTTTGACTTTGGCCCCCCAAAAAAAAAAGCTCAAGTTGGCGCCGCCGAGTTGAGGGCCACAAAAACTGAAATGTTCCCTCAAAAGGGCCACGTGTCATTCTCCCCGCCTCAAGCTCTAAAGAGCGGGGGCCCGCACTACGAACGTGGCAATCCCAACAGAACAAAATATCCGCTCTCATCTCCCAGCGGAGAACCTCCTTCCTCCCCGCGTGGAGCCCACCTACGTGGATGATCACCATACAAATTTTCAAATAATGGCCCAAATTCTGCCACGTCATCCTCTCTGTGGGGTGGCCCAATCTCGGCCCACCTTTTGATCACCTCAAAGATTTTAGTGGCACGTAAAACGCCCCCCAGGAATTGCCAAAGCATTCTATGATTCCCTATTTCTTTTAATTTAAAAGAGATAATAAAAAAAAATTCTCCAATCATCGTACAAGTAAGAAATTGATTTGTGTTATGATATTCTTAACATCGATATTTATTATTAATATATTTATAAAAAATCCTATTATGCATAAACCATTGTGCAGCTCTTTTTTGTAACACAAGATTCGTTTTCAATATATATAACTGCAAGTACTCAACCCCAGAGTTATCCTTTGTTCGATGATCCAATTTTGGTAGTTGTCCTTCATATTACAACTCCTTTTCTTTTCCATCCGGTGACCAAAATTATAGGGAGGGAGTTTTCTGTGGAAGATATTTTTTTCGTTTTTCGCGGTTGTGAGCCAAAGTTGGTTGAATCGAAGCATTGAAGGTGGTTTGAGATTCTCTCTCGTTTTAGTTCCACTCATTCGTAGCAGACTTAGCAGTCACTTTTCCCATATTTGTTTTTCTTGGACAAGGATGAGGTACAATTTCATTTTGATCTGCAGACAGCCTTCTTGTTCCCTCATTTTTCTATGAATGATTGTTGAAAGTTAGGGTTTCAGTTGTCTTTTTGGGTGCTATATTGTGCTTGGTCTTTCTGTTTTTGTAGTATGCTCTCGGAGAATATGGGTGAAGCGGTCCTGCCTAGCGGTAAAAAGGGGATGGAGGTGAGGTTGGAGATAGAGGAGGAGATGAACACGATGAGCCAGCTGAAGGATGAGAGCTCCACAGAAATGGTTAACTGGGACAAGCTTCTTCCTCAGATGGTGCTCAGAGTTCTGGTGGTGGAAGCTGATGATTCTACTCGTCAGATTATCGCAGCCCTTCTCCGCAAATGTAGTTATAGAGGTACTCTTTTGAAGGAAAAAATTTTCTTCGTTAACTACTACTTATGGCTTTTCCTTTCTTCCTTGGTTCTAGGTATTATTTATGGCATTGTATATATTGAGATCACGAAGATTATCGTATTTATGCTAACAGGGGTGGATGATTAAATATGTTAAGTGGACAAAATCCACTGATCCTTCTTGTATCAGCTCAATGCAGTGCTTATATGCTTATAAGTAAGAATTGATTGAGATTTTACTCACTTAGGTTGGAAGAGGGATTCTTTATTTGGTTGTTGCTCGGACGTGTGGCTTGGTTGGTCAATGTTTGTTCTTTAAATATTGTACTGATACAGTAAGTAATCTTTATCGCTTCAAGCTTTTCAATCCGCCTCAGCTTTTAAAAAAAAAAAATCTGATATCTGTGACAGTGTTTCGGCCTGCAATTGAACGGCCTCTTGATATCACTTCGGCTTCTCCCACTTCTCAAATCATAAGCATAGAATTCTCTCTTTTTTGTAGGACATATTTGTATTTGTTGCTTCTTTGTGAGTTTTAGATGGCGGTCGTCTCACAAGGCTTACTCTTAAAAACTCGAGAAACTTGAAGGCGCTCTTGAGGTTATTCCTTCAAGCAGTCTTGTGATACTTTTATGCTCATCTTTAAGATACTCTTATGCATGCAGTTGCTGCGGTTTCTGATGGATTAAAGGCGTGGGAAACATTGAAGAAGAAAGCTCCTGATATTGATCTCATATTAACTGAAGTGGAGCTGCCGTCAATATCTGGATTTGCACTTCTTACTTTAATCAAGGAGCATGAAATCTGTAGAAATATTCCCGTCATAAGTATGTTGACTAAGGTTGTTTGTTATCTTAATTAACTATGTTACCTCTTTAGATGTGACTAATGGACTCTTGTAATCTGATGGCTGTGTAGTGATGTCTTCTCATGATTCTATCAACATGGCAATGAAATGCATATTAAAAGGTGCAGCTGACTTTCTTATAAAACCTGTTCGGAGGAATGTACTATCAACCTTGTGGCAACATGTGTGGAGAAGGCATCCTGTATGTTGCATTCTTCGACCTTCTTGTATCAATATTTTTTAATACTTTGCTTCTCTCATTGGTATCAATCTTTTATATCCTCTCTTTTTTCTTTATCATTGTTGTCTTGTTACGAATATTGTTTTTAGATCAGCAAAGCATACTCATGATTCAACATTTCCACAGAAAAAACTTGAAGCTGCTTCAGAAAACAATGCTGCCAGCAATCATTCAACTGGTTCTGTGGCTTCCACTCAGAAAAATAATGAATGCTGCGAGAAAAGGAGTGAGGCCCAAGTAAGGCACCCCTTCCACTTAAATTTTGCTAAATGCCTCGTTTCATGTTAATATGGAGAGTGCATGAAACAGTTGGGAAACTGTGAATTGATGTAAAGTCTTCTAAAATTGTATCTTCTCCCTTCTCTCTCGATACTTCGCTTAAATAACATGTAAAAATGTACTTCATAGGATCTCTGATACAAAACATATGTGAAGCCCTTATAGCATGGGGAGAATGTCCTTTCCACAGTAAACTGGCTTGATGAAATTTCACATAAAGAGTGCATGTTTTGCCAAATCTTGTGCAGAGCACTTGTATATCGCCTATATTGGAAGCTGAGAGTGCATACATGCAAAATATGCAGGATATGTCCCAGCCCAAGAGCTCTTCAAATTTGACCAACGTTGACACGGTGAAGCATGACGAGTCTGCAAAACTTGAAAGTAACTCTGCTAAACATAATAATGCAATTACGAGTATGTAACTTCCTTACCTACAATCTACTATTGGCTAAGTCTTTTCCTTATTTTGTTTATCATAAAAGGATATGCTATCTTACAAAGTACTTATTGCAGAGAGGTCGATTATTTATTCATCAGAGGCTGCTAGGTGCAACAGCATTATTAACTTGACCAATTCAAGGCTGGAGCAAGACAATTGTGCTGAAAGAGATAATCGGGGTGAATCTTTAAGAGCAGAGTTTAATAGAGACAATCCTACTGTTGATACTGAGACTCATGGCTGCAAAAATGAATTGGTTGAACCTTCTAGAGGAGCTATTGACTTGATTGCTACATTTGAGAATACTCCAAAGAATGTTGATGAGAATTATAGTCTCGCTGATGGTGGGAGAGACAAGTTTGATTTTGATCCGCAGCTGGAACTTTCCTTGAGAAATTTTTCTGGTAGCTCATGTGAAAAAGAACCTGAGGAAAGGCAAACATTGAACCATTCAGATGCATCCGCCTTTTCTTGGTAAGTTGTCCGTTTTCTTGTGGTTATCTTAGTTCCCAGACTGACGTCAAATAATAGAAGATAGATGCTACACAATGTTTTCTTTGTTGAAACAAAGTTCAACTGAAAGAATAAAGTTTTTGTTCAATTGTGCTTCATTCTGTTTATATGATTTTTTTTTGGCGTCTTGCATAGTTTCTTTAGTATTCCTTTGCCACACACCCTTTGTCCCTTATCTACATTTGCACTTGAACATGCTCTTGTTGGAGCAAACCTAGAATGATGGTAAATTCGTAATATAGCTTCGCCTCTAAAGAGAGCTTATTTATTCAAGTTTCTTGAGCAATTGAAGGAAGATTGTGAGATATTTTGCTAATGATAAACTAGAATAGTTATGTTCAGAGTTCTAAATTTTGTAGAGCCAATTAGCCACTTGTATACAAGCATCATTTCTTTACAGTTCTGCTTAACCATTGGTCTCCTTGATAAGCTCTTTTCACTTCTTATGCCCGGGAGATGAGGATTTAGCATCTTCCATTCAAAACAAAACCACTAGACCTATCCAGTTATGAAAATTGATCAGTAAACTCTAGCAATATTCTAATGATACACATGTCAATCCTATCTGCAGGTATAGTGGTAATAAGTTGCCCCAGCCCCTTTTTCCCGTTTTACCAATGAGCTCTGCCAAAGCATATAGCACTGTTGCTTCTTATCAGCATGGTGGGACAAATCATGCTCAGGAGAACACAATCCCACTGGTTCTTCAGCAGACTGGACAAGTTGGAGTGCAATTGCCAAACCTCCATCCTGCATCCTCTCCTGCTACTGGTGTTACTTCTGATCATATGTTCAGCGGATATGGGAATGCTGTACCTTCTATATTCTACAGACAATCCGGTGCTCATCCCATGTGGAGTCCCAAATCAGTCGGCCGGAAAGAGAATTCTCCCTTTCGTGCAACCACTTCATTCCTGTCAAATGCTGAAAGTCACAACTCAGAACAACATTATCAGTGGTCCGATGCCAGCTGTGCTTCTCTTGATAAAAAGCCAGGGTGTGATAAAAGCTACTTGGATCCTACAATGCACGATTATCCAGGTACTTATCAGAATACCAGCATTAGTTTATGCCACGACACGCCAAACCGTGTTAATGATGGTTCATATGGAAGTATAGGCAGTACGAGAGATGGAGATCATACTTCAGCTGTGGTAATCGAGAAAACCTCTGAAAGCTTTAGTGATAACAGTTATCATGATTATGACGAATACAGAGGAGCAGATTCTCTGCGTCCCACCCAAAGGGAAGCTGCTCTAACAAAGTTTCGACTGAAGAGGAAAGACAGATGCTACGAGAAAAAGGTGCTATGACTTTTACTGCTGCTGCCATTTAATAGACATTCTATTGAATGCCCTATCTATATATATGCCTTAATACTAGCCCGTTGAGTGTTTATGAGATCACCATACTCGATCAAATTTATCGTGCTATTTAGCAGTTTGAATTAGTTTGCATGTTTCTAAATAAATGTCATGACTTCGAATATGATAACATTCTTGACAGAGTTGTTAAGACCGTCATATAGTCAGTTATCTTTCGAGATCCTTTCAGATGCTGAATGCTCAAAATTCTTACAGGTCAGGTATCAAAGCCGGAAAAGACTGGCTGAGCAGCGTCCTCGCATAAAAGGGCAGTTTGTGCGTCAAGTGCAAAACGACTGTCCACTTGTTGATTCTGGCGGTGGTTCCTGATTCCCCCCCTCCCCCAACCCTCCAAGTCACCTGCTTTTGTACCCTCATAGCCTTATAGTCTGACTCTAACACTAATCTGCGTCTGGACGGAAAAGCTGTAGTGTAGGAGCTTGCGTTTGTGGTAGGATGATAATTTGAAGGCTCAAAAGCTAGAATGTTTAACATTCATAGTGTTTTAGTAGTTTTAATAGTTTTTTAGTATTTCCTTTTGGTTGTGTTGACAAGCTTAGAAACTTAGGATTGTATTTGTTTAGTAGGAACGGAGTGTTGAGTTTTGCTTTTCCCTGCTGTATATGGTTGCCTTTGATGAATACCTATATATAGAGTGCTGTGCTTATGTAGAACGGTGGGAAGTTTCTGTAATAATAAGCCGAAGCGGACAATATTTGTATATATATCCTCAAGCAGCTCTAGAAATTTGACAAAACCTTCTTGCTGTTAAAAATAGGGTTAATTAATCCGCAAGTCCTTATAGTTTCAATGAATTTTAAATCAGGTCCTTATAGTTTTTTTTCTTTTTATCAGGTCCTTATACTTTTACCTTTTTTTAATTAGGTCCTTGTATTTATTTTTCTTTTAATTAAGTCCTTATAATTTCACTAAATTTTTAATCAGGTCCATGCAGTTTTAATTTTTATTTATTAATTAAATATAAGCTTAATTAAATAGATTAATACTGAAATATAAAATATTAATAATTAAATTAAATTATAAAAAAGTAATAGAATTAATTAAATCAGGAAAATTTTTTAGAACAATTAATTTTTTTGCTGAAAAAATTAAAATTATTATAATAATTCAATATCTTTAGAATATTATTGTTTATAAACTAATATTAAATAATATATACTATTTTATGTTTATATAATAGTACTATTATAATTTATAAAATAAAGAATAAAAAATTCAGGGACTTAATTAAAAATAAGGTGAACTTATAAGGACTTGATAAAAAGAAAAATAAATACAAGGACCTAATTAAAAATAGGTAAAAGTATAAGGACCTAATAAAAAGAAAAAAAACTATGAGGACCTGATTCAAAATTAGTTGAAACTATAAGGAGTTGTGAATTAATTATCCCTTAAAAATATGCTTGCTCGAAACATGATTACTCTTGAAGACTAGAGCGTCTTTGCCTTGAGAGGAAGATAAAGAAGGAAGACCGACAGTATTATTCATAATTTGCCGCTGCTTGATATTGATTTCAGAGGATTCTATATGGTTTTGAAATTATACAGACGGTAAAAACGGTGATGGGTTTGCTGGCCAACTGGCATAAACTGTGTAAGCGACGGCCAGAAGAGATAGGTGGACGTGGAATGGATCGACCCGAAAGAAGGTTGAGTCGTTTGTTATGGGAACTAAACTAGGCGTTTTTAGACTTGCCCTGGTAAATGGGTGGGTCAGCCCTTGGGTTTGTACGTGGGGAGAGGAGACGGTCAATTTGTGAGTTAAGGCGAGGTGACATGATACGTCTAAGGGGGGTGTATGGCTATAAACAGAGGATGTGGGTGGACATAAGAGGCGTGGCACACAAGCACAAAATGTTGCGTAGGGAAGTAGGAAGGGGCGGGTGGGATCTGACGAAGCAAGGAGGAAGGAGGGCCCACCATATGTAACCCTGAAGCGAATACACATCAGCGTAACTCAGCTCATTCCCATCCCATGCACAACCTGTTAGTTTTCTTTTTTTTTTGGCCAACACTTGTCAGCTTGTCGGTCAACTTGCCGGTATTCAGCCACATCTCTCTCTAATCGCAAATTGCAAAGCTCTTTTCTCTTCCTTCTCTGCTGTGGTTTCCTTTTGCAATTTTCTATCAATATTTTAAAGCGCCACCTCCTCCGTCACATCTTATCTCAGCCATCAATATTTAGAATTTTTAATATTATATACTCTTCTGGTCTTAAATATAAGATTTTTATACTAACAAGAGTATAAATGTTTTATATTTAGAACTGAAGGAATATAACATCGCACGCGCACGCGCTTGTGCTTATAATTACTATACGGACGCATTGGATTGTCGTCTTCTCAGATCCCAAGTGATTTCGTTCCAACATGAACGTCCTCAAAGTTTGGGACTTGAGTCCACGATGTTATCCAAGGCCAACGGTGACATGCATCCTCAGATCCTATTTTCCCTTGCCTCAGATTTCTACTCCGCCGAATGAAGTAAAGAATTACAATTGCCTAATGAAATAGTGAAAGGAGCTAATTTCTCCCGAATGAGATTTAAATTTTTGTTGAGAAATATGTTTATATTTACTACCAAATAGTATCTTGAATGAGATTTCTCTAATAGAAAGATACCCGTGTGTAGTAAAAAGGAAAAAAAAAAGAATTATAATGATAATTACAGAGGTATAATATATATACAAATTTTTTCCATTTATAATTCCCTTTTCATTGGTAAGCTAAAGGGAGCTCACATTTCATTAGATAACTTCCTCGTTTGTATGTAGGATAAGGAAATTATACCTAACTACAGTATTTTTTAAATAATTAAATGTATAATTGTTTTTAAAATATTTATTTATTCATCTATGATTGATTATATATTACATGCAAGATGTATAATATGTGCGTATCGTTCAAAACTAAGCTGCGGAGGTAGTATTACTGATAAAATAGATTAATCGCCCAACAGATGGCATGACGAGCTTAGGACACGCTATATTTCATATATTTTGTATCTTAAATATTATTGTAATAATACTCCCTCTCTCTCTCTCTCCCTTTCTCTCTCTATGTATAGATATATGCATATATATTCGACAAATAAAAATTAGCAAGCATGCAATTGTAATTGGAACACTACCCTACATTTACATATAGAGGATACGTACTGGTCGGTCACTAATTTACTTTCTTCCCTCCTTTGTTTCCACTGGACAGCAAGCAGTAACAGTAAAGGCAGAGCTCATACAACTGGTTTCGCCATAAAAATCCGACGAACTTACAAAAGCAAAAACACTACATGAAATAGTAATTACTTGAAATCCATGGCCAAAAATATTACTCAAAACAACATGCTATTCCTATAAATCCAAGGATTCTGATTTTTTGAGTATATCTTACACCAAAAACTTCATCATCAAACCGAGGATTGCCGTCATACCTTATCTCAAAGTATGAAATTAAGGAACTAAAGCATTATTCTTTGCAAAAGCCAGAGAAAAAGAAAGGTTTCAATGGAAACAAAAAGCAAAGTTAAGCACTCAGACAGAGAAAGCAGAACGCAAAAAGAAAACGGCTTAAAAAGATTAATCAGCTAGGAGATCATATAGATTAGTAGTTTCTTTGCTTCATATTCATCTTGAAATATGAGAAACTGACTTCTTCTTTAGCTCCAAAGTGACCCATCGATTCCTTTTCGCTTTATCTCTTTTTCTGGTCCTTTTAGAGTCCTAACCATTTCTCTTTCACTCTCACTCCACAGCTCCACTTTCCTTCTTCTTCATTCATTAGCTAGCTACCTCCCAAAGCTCCTTTGACTACACAATCAGCTTCTCCCATGGCAGAACAGAACTGTTCACAGCAAGGAGCAGCTCCATGCGCACCCCAAAACCGCTGTCACCACCTCACGAACGCAGATTCATGCGCAACCCAAAACCGCTCTCGCCCCCTCACGAACGAGAAATACTGCACGGAAAAAGGCCACGGATCTCGCTCGCCGAAACGTGCCGTCTGCTCCTGCATCACAATCTTCCTCCTCCTAGCAGGCATCACCCTCCTCGTCCTCTGGTTCGTCTACCGTCCCCACAAGCCCAGATTTACTGTCATCGGCGCCGCCGTCTATGGCCTCAACGCCACGGCGCCGCCGTTCCTCACCACCACAGTTCAATTCACCATCCACATCAGAAACCCCAACCGCCGCGTCTCGATCTCCTACGACAGGCTGTCGGCCTTCGTGTCGTACAGGAACCAGGCAATCACAGCGCCAATCATGCTGCCGCCGCTGTACCAGGAGCGGCACAGCGCGGCGTCAGTGTCGCCGATGATCGGGGGATCGCCAGTGCCGGTGTCGGAGGAGGTGGCGAACTGGTTGGCGGCGGACGAGAGCTGCGGAGTGGTGGAAGTGAGAGTGGTGGTTCAGGGGAGGGTGAGGTGGAAGGCGGGAGCCATACGAACAGGGCACTATGGAATGCACGTGAAGTGTGATCTTTTGATGGGTCTGAAGAAGGGATTTGTGGGTCAGGTTCCTTTGCTGGCAGATCCGCCCTGCGCTGTAGATATCTGAATTTCTCAAACCTAGTTATATTAATTCATTGCTCTAATAAGTGTAATCATCTGTCCTTCTCAACATTTCAATTTCAGAACCTGGTTGTGTTTCTCTCTGTTCTTTTCAATAGCTAGCTTCATTATTGAACCTTTAAATTCTAACTTGATTTCCTGTTATTGTGCCAGTTTTTCAACGATGAATGACAGTTAAATTGATTATATAATTACTCCGTAACAAGATTTGAAACATTTTATTCAATACTGATTATGTGAATAATTTGTAATTTGCTGTGCATGTAGCTCAATTAAGCTGGCTCAGTCATCTGATGAGTATAATTATGTGTTGTGGGAGAGCTTAAAGTTTACGCGGAGAATATTTAAGGGTTGTGGAAAAATTTTCGTGAGATCATTGAGTCTGATCTCCTGGGGCTAAAAAAATCCGAGTTTGTTGTGTTTGAACTTTGGAGTGAATATATACGTATACAGTACAAAGCATAAATGAAGTCATTTATTCTTTTAGGCACACGTATATTGAGAGAGAGTTATGGAATATGGACACGTGGCACATAAATGTTCATGCAGGACCTAAAAAGGCTGTACGTGTCGCTTTATGGTGTGAAAAGGAGAAAGCGCTGTCCCAAAAACCAATAGAATATTTTGACCCAACTCAGCCTCTCCAAAACAAATTACGACTCACTTTACATAATATATATATATATATATATAATGTTAACTATCACATTATCTTTGAGGTTTATTTCTTTACCAAGCATCATTAATCACCACTATCTCTTGCTTTTAATATAATAGTAACTCTAGTTCTAATTATAAGACCTCGTTCATAGTTTATAAACGAGGTGTAACGAGGTCTTATAATTAAGATAAGGGGTGGTATAAGATTTAGTTTATAATTTAAACTTTGTCTTTTAATTTGAACTGTAAACTAAATGTTATATTAAGAACCAAAAGCGGTATTAAAAAAAAAAGAAAAAGAATGGCGTAGAAACTTATTTCTAATTTTTGGGTTATTCTCATTGCTAATTTTTTTCAATGAACTAAAACCCACAATCAGAATGTTTTATTTTCATATAACAGTGTAATATATGTATGATTTTTGTACACAATCATGTAGTCTTTTAATTAATTAAATTATATATCTAATCTTATTACATGTTCTTTGAGTAAATGTAGATTTGCATTATGTTCTTTAAAAGTTTCATAATAAGTATTTAACTAGAATTTTTCTTTCAAAATGGAATGCTATGTACCAATTTTTTACAAGTGGAGATAAATCTATAAATTTATATATATAAATTTTATCGCAAGTCATAAGGTTGTAATATAATGAGATGGCCTGTCTTGAACTCCATGCAAAATACTCAGAGAGCTCACGATAATGTGCATGGTTGTTGCGTATACTAAATCATTTATTTGTATTTGCCTCTTAGCAATCTCGTTTTACTATTCATATTCCATATCGTGCTGGAAGTCCATGCTCAAAACTTATTTTGTTGTAAAATAAATATAAAATCCATATGAAAAATTATAATGTTGAACTTTTAAAGTTAAAATAAATGCAATTATTACACCCAAAAAAAAACAACTAAAATAGCTGGTGTGTGTGTGTGTGTGAGAGAGAGAGAGAGAGAGAGAGGAGCAAAGGTGGTGGATGAGGATCGGATTCGCGATATAAAAGAGAAAAAAGATGAAATGATGGGTGATTATATTGGAATGAGGAAGCTCTAAGCTTATGCCTCAATCCTGTCGCCAACCCAAATGCCAGTTCCTGATGCCTCACCAACACTTTATATCACGTCGCAATTTTAGTTTTCTAACGCAATTGTCACATACCTCTTACTACGCAGAATTTTCGGTTCTTAATATAAAAACTAATTTGATATTTAATTTGATTTTAAATATAATGTCTCAATTCACTTTGTTTCTCATTTTATTTCTTTTTTTAAATAATTCTTGTAGTAGTTGTACATGTTAAAGATTTCATCATCTGGTAATTCTATTTAATACACATGATTAAGAAAAATATTCTAAAAAAAATAACACCTATTTATTACAAATAACTAACTTAACAAACTTTCTTAATCTACTTAAGTTAGTCAACTAGCTTTTATATTAAAAACCGAAAGTAGTAGTTATTAAATTCGAATATTATTGGTTCTAATTTAATGTAAATCTTTTAACATGATTTTTTTTCTATAAGCAATGTTCAAATGCTCAATGTTTTTTTATACTAGGCATAGGTATTCTACTATTAAAGAGTATTCAAGATACTTTTAGAAACTAAATATAAATATTTCTCTTAATAAAATTTTAAATATTGATTTGTCACGTTATGATAGATTAATTCCTTTCATTAGGCTTAATGCCCGTTGCTCAAATCCTCAGGTCCCGTTTGGTATGAAGCATTGAAAATGAGGGATTGAAATTGAAATTGTAATTGAAAAAAATCATTAAAATAATACTTAGCATGAGTAATTATTTGTTATATGGGATTAGGCAAACCCATAAAGGTAGGATTGGGAAATACCACTTCCCTTCATGGTATTCTCCAATCTCACATATATGGCTTTGGCTAATCCCATATATCAAACAATCTTTTATACTAAACACTCTCTTGATAGATTTTCTCACTTGTAATCCTAATCCCAATCCCTCATTTTCAATGCTTCCTACCAAACGCAACCTCAGTGTCTTGTGAAGTACTTCCAACAAATGCAGCCGGCCCAACTTCCCAAGGCCTTCAAAAGCCGGCCCAATTGGCCAGGGCATCAAAACCGGGATAATGTCCGGTTGAGCCCCCTTCGTTTGCACCCACCCGTATCAATAAACACTATATTCAAATACATTAAAAACCCATCTTCATACCAGCGGGGTTGAGTATAATGAAAGGAACTAATTTCTTACAATATAATAAATTAAAATTCGAATTTCTATTGAGAAAAGTGTTCACAGCTAATGCTCAACTGTGCTTTAGATAATAATGGATATGTCGGCGAAAGTCAAACAAATAGTTGATCTGTATAGGATTATAATATCATCACACACACATCATTAAAAAAACAATAAAACCTGTTTGTTTTTTTTTCCCCGTAATCAGGTATGATAAAGAAGGAAGAAGGTCATACAAGTATGAAGGGGTATCGTGAAATTTGAATTTCTTTTTATTTAAAGAAAAACATACTAACAAGGTAAGATTATTACTTGCGGGATCAAACTCACAACCTCCTATCTTTAAGAAATCTTAATACCTTTAGACTACAAAATTATTTAAAATTATTTGTTTGACAATGAATTTAACCAAAATTCTTATGTACCTAACATTTTCCTTGTTTGTAGAGACATTTTACTAAAATCGAATCAAAACTCCAACAAATAACAAGTCAATTTCATTTTGGGAAAATTATTTAAAATTATTTGCTTGACCATGAATTTAGCCAAAGCTCTTATGTACCTAACATTTACCTTGTTTATGGAGACATTTTACTAGGGGGTGTTTGGGTAGCACCAGGAGTGCTTCTGAAAAGCATTTTTCTATAAATAGAGATAAACTCCTTCACATATTTACTTCGTATACCGTAAAAATACTTTTAAAACTATAATTTTGATTCCATCCAAACACTCAGTGAAATCTAATCAAAACTGCAACAAATAACAATTCATTTTCATTTTGGGTAAATTGTGGAAAAGGACCTAATCATCGAATTATTCAGGGAAAATGACCTGATTCTAATCTGCAATTTTTCTTTCACAGCGGGCTGTTTATATATCTTCCGTACGTAACTGTTATGCGAGTTAATGAAGTTTAGATCCCAGCTCATTCTCATTCAATCTCTATTGTACATAGGATATGATGGGTTTTATGCGTGTAATCGTTATACCTTTGAATAAAATTTGATCTTTTATTAAGGGGCAAAAGAGTCATTTTCCCCAAATAATTTGCTGATTTATTCCTTTTCCGCAATTTTTTCTTTTCTTTTTTCAACTCTCTCTCTCTCTCTCTCGCTTTCCCCAAAACATTTTTTTAAAAGTTTGTTATTTATTTAAACACATATATAATTTTTAATTAGCTTATATCCCATTTTCCAAATATGACCGGTCATGATCTCTTCATCTTCTCCTTTCTGAAGAAGTCCTATTTTTTCCCTTATCATTGCGTCATGTCTACATGTATCCATGTGTTATCATGTGCCATTGACGTGTAAATTAATCAACTTTTTACTGACAGAGTTAAATCCATTATATTGTCTGGCCAAAAAAAAAAATCCATTTATATTGGTCTTAAATATTAATTAATGATGATGATGCCAAGTAAGACCGTTTCGGTCCTGATCAATAATCAAGCCTTATTAACAAAAATGATTGATTCGCAAAAAGTCATACCCCTTTAGTAAAAGGGTGATTTATTGTGTACGTAATCATAATCCCAAATATTTGACCCAACGAGGATGTCGGAGCAGCGCAGTTCTGTTTTTATGCAAAAGAAAGGGTCAATCCTTTTTCCTCTTTGGTACCGCCAGTGATATTAGTTTCGGCAAAAAATACTTATTTCTTCAAATTATAGTTTTATTTGTCCCTTTTTTTGAGAGTAAATAAATACTACTACCTTTAGTTCTAAATATAAAAATTAAGTAGAAATTTAATTTAATTTTAAATATAAAAATCTAATCTATTTTATTTTTTATATTCACTCATTTTTTTAAAAAATAATCTTTATAATAATCACACATATTATAACAACAGGATAGTGTGCGAGGTCGTTTTGTGGTTGTGGGCCTTGGGCCCACCGTGCCATAATAAATACTTTGAAGCTGATAATTGATAAACGCCTAGGACGAACTTCCGCAAGATTCGAGAACGATTCTTCTGTTATGATTCCAGAAAGGGTCTATTAGCCTACGAGAAACCCACACCCCAACAAAATCAAAGGGGAACCCCAAATCCCAACAGTTCCGCGGAGAAAGTCCCTGCTGGTACGGTCCTCTTTTTTTTTATTTTTTTAAAGAACTCTATCCACTATCCCATCCCTTTCAATTTTCAAACTTTTACTTTGTCCGTTTTGATTCCTGCTATTCGTCTTGTTTTCAAAATGAAACTTTTATGCCGTATATGCGTATGGGGATTTCCTTGAATTCGTTTGGGGTGATGAATATTCTGTTCTGTTTTTCCTTTTGCCCCTGTTTCTTGAGTTTCTGGACGAACTATTGATCCCAGGCTAGAAGCCCAGTGACCGGCAGTTGCAATGTGAGATTCATTATTCAGTGCTTATTTTGTCGAATGGTCAGGTGTATTGTTTATCATATGACTTCCTTCTGTTTTGCCCAAATGCTCTGAAGCTCTGATGAATGTACGCTCAATCATTTTTTTGGCCCTTCCATAGACAAATTTTTGTTTTGATTTTATCCCATCGAACTGTTACGCGGTTACAATTGTGTGTTTATGCTCTGCCTGGGTTCTTGAAGCATTTACTCGATAGTATGGATATATGACAAGAGTACATTATGTTACCGTAACTATTATGCACAATTGATCAACGCCCTTATACTCTTTCTATGTGATTTCACGTAGAACATGTTCCTATTTCAAACTCACAGATTAAGTTCAATATGCTTGTGCCGTCGGTTACATAATACTGACAACTTCGTGGCCCTGGTCCTTTTCTGTTTTGGTCATGCCACTTCCTTTGATCTTCTTGAACCCTTATTGGTTATACCACCTATTGGTCCATCTGTTTCTCATCTGGCGATGTGATTACTTGGTATTCTTCACGTGCCATAGGATTGTGGTTTGACTATGGAGCTAGTTCGAATTACACTCTCGATTGATTGACCTTGTCGGCTGCTATTTGCAGCGGTATTGTTTTGAACTTTTGTGATGTGACAGGAAATATAGAAAAGAGTTTGGATGTTTTTCATTTCTTGGTAATTTCTGAGAGAAATTGCACAAAATGAATGATACCCACACAAACGGTGAGTTCCATTTGAGTAATGGATTCCATGCACTCTATGTCTGTATACGTCTATCCTCTTGTAAAATTGACACACACACAAAAAAAAAACACAAGAAGGAGAAGAACGTGAAGAAGAGAATGAAAGATAGAAATCCAGAAACAACGCCTTGTGGGTTGGAGCTAATTTTTAGAACTCATTCATGCACCTTAACCCTTTTTCTTCCTCTTGAAGCATTATGGAGACATGATTTTTACCTTTCTTAGGCATGACATTTCTATTGTATGTATAAATAATATTCAAAATTTTCTCCTGACTTGAGTCATTCGCAATTTCATTTCAAGGACTACTAAATTGGAAACATAATAATCATGTACCTGAGGTTTTGAAGAATGTTTTATTCCTTCCTTGTGCTTTGGTTCTCATGGGAAGACAACTAGTTATTTTGTTTCCTTTGAATTCTTTTAATTTTTCGTTTGCATCTTAAGGTCCATTTGTCCAACATGAAGGCTTGGGTGTAAATAATGCAAATCGTAACACTTCTTACCGATTTGCTGTTATCTTCCAATCCCAGGGATGGTCCCTTTATTATTCAACATCTGTAGTCTATGTTGCACATGTCTATCTTGTCATTGTAATTACTCTAAATATCTACATTGAACTCAAGATACTGATTTTCGGCTCATTATGTTTTCCTCCACATTAGTTGAAGATTTAAACATAATCCTGTTTCTTGTTTAATGATTGACAAGTGGCGTGTGTGTGTGTGTGTTTGTTGCTACGTTTTGTAGTTCTTTTTCACCAATTTGCAGAAAAACATTTTCAGTGGCGTTGTATTCCAGATGGAAGCACAAAACTCCGAGGATGCACGAGTGATTGAGGTTCGTGGACACACCTCTGATGGTAGAAGGGCTCTTGGGGGAAGTAAGCTTTGTGGGGAAGCACCATGTGGGTTCGCAGGCGCTGGATCCATCTCCAGGGATTCCAAGGAACGATGGACCTCCATGCGAAAACTTCTGACGGCAGTGATTCTTTGTATTGTTTTCATGAGCATTGAAGTTGTTGGGGGAATCAAAGCTAATAGTCTTGCAATATTGACTGATGCTGCACACTTGCTTTCGGATGTTGCAGCCTTTGCCATCTCATTATTCTCTTTGTGGGCTGCTGGATGGGAAGCCACCCCTCGTCAGTCATATGGATTTTTCAGGATAGAGATTCTCGGAGCCTTGGTGTCTATCCAACTAATATGGTTGCTTACAGGGATTCTAGTCTTTGAAGCCATTCAAAGACTCATTGCTGGTACTCATGAGGTTAATGGCCTATTAATGTTTTTGGTTTCTGCATTTGGTCTATTGGTTAACATTATCATGGCTCTTTTATTGGGTCATGATCATGGTCACGGACACGGACACAGACACGGACACGGGCATGATGAACATGATCATGGTCATGTCCATGGATCTATAGTTTCCACCCATCAACATCATCATGATGAAGAACATTCCAGAGATAAGCACCATCACCACAGTCATGATGATGTCAGTGAACCACTTCTCAATGGATCAAAAGGCAAACCAGAGGAGAAGAAGGAATGGAACATTAATGTGCGAGGGGCTTATCTCCATGTACTTGGAGACTGTATCCAAAGTATTGGGGTAATGATTGGAGGAGCAATCGTTTGGTACAAGCCCGAGTGGAAAGTAGTTGACTTGATTTGCACACTAGTATTCTCGGTGATTGTTTTGGGGACAACGATCAATATGCTGCGAAGCATACTTGAAGTCCTGATGGAGAGTACGCCAAGAGAGATAGATGCAACTAAACTTGAACAGGGCCTGCTGGACATGGATGAAGTTGTGGCTGTTCATGAGCTGCATATATGGGCCATTACAGTGGGAAAGGTTTTACTGGCTTGTCATGTGAAAATTAGGCCAGAAGCTGATGCAGACTTAATGTTGGACAAGGTTGTGGACTATATCAAAAGGGTCTACAACATAAGTCATGTGACCATTCAGATCGAGCGCTAGTTCTGTCTTTGGGTCAATTGGCTTTTTTTTTTTTTTTTTCCTTCCTGACTCTAGAATACAACTTCCTTGACCGCAATAATGCAGCATATGCTTTTCTTGGAATTTAAAGATTGCCGGTACGAATAGCTATTTCTTGGGGCTTCAATGAGGGTTGAGCAGTACGTGTTTTAACATTAAGTCTTTTTTCAAAAAATGAGGGAACTCATCCTGACCTCTTTTAGGATGGTGGGTTGACCTTGGTTAGGTTGGGTCTGTTTGGCAGTTCCGTGACTGCATTATTTACTTTATAGACTAATTTTCTGGTATTTTGCTCTGGTCTGAATCTGTGTAGTTGCTTCAATTGATATGTGTCTGTCTTTATATGGTTTCACGTACACAAAACTACTTGTTGAAGGTTTTTGCCCTGTTGGAGGACAAAAAAATGGGGACCCTTCCACCCAACATGGCCACTGGTACCATTTTTGGAGCCTGCTAGTCAATGTGTCACTCACAGGCACGTGGGAATGTAAAAGGTTATGAGTTATTTTCTTGATAGCGCTAACTCATCAAGTTGCTCACGGGTTAATGGAGCCGGCCACTATTGGTGACCGGTGAATTACTGATAAGATTAGGATAACATGAGGAGAGGTCTTTGGTAAAATTTTATAGGAAGCTTTATACTGAATTTGAGTCCTCAAGTGTTCAATGTTTCTTGATATTTCAGGCCTTTCTAGGTACATTTAGTTTAGGATGTGGTCACTTTTATCTCCAAACAAATAATGACGAAAGAGTTGAAGTTGAAAATAATTCCCAGCCCCGGGTTTTGAGAGAGAGAGAAGCTAAGATTACTGCAGGAAAAAACACTTTTGGTGTTTCCAAGTCTAGTGGTTTATATATATGGCAAATTTGTCTCGGTAGAAATCTCAAGAAAAAAAATTTAATTATTAAAACGTTTCAATAACAAATAGTCAATCTGAACCTGTTATCATTTCTTGTTCTAAAACTTTTTATTGTTTACTCTTCATTTATTGATGAATTTTAGGGTAATTAAATCCTATCATTAAGACTTGATTGTAATTCTTCTATTTATCTCCACTGCTTGTTGAAGTGCTTCTTCTTGGCAGTGAATTCGTGTTCACACAAGGAGCATAATTATATGTCAAAATCAATGTGAATAGAAGAACTGTGTGTGAGGCTAGTAGCTTATACGACGAAAAGCTTCATTGTCCGTGTGCGGGCTACGCTGTGTGAGCATTTCCGTTACGTTTATTTTAAAATTTAAAAAATGTATACATTACATTTTATTTTAAAAAAATAATAGAAATGAAAATAAAACGTGAGTTTTACACATAAATTTGGGTGTACGTTCACCTTTATTGTTCTGTATTGGGGTATTGGCATGACATTATTGGGTTATTGTGAATGTTGCCTCCTATATTGTTCTGCTTAACTTTTGCATAAAAGATAATTTTGATGATATTTTTTTTGGGTAGGCATAGGTATTTTTCTAATAGAGGTAATCCTGTTCGAGACATTGTTAGGTGTTAAACATGGGTATATTTTGCAACAAATATTCAAACTTTAATTTGTCATATTATAGAGATTAGTTTCTTTTGTTTTTTGTTTTGGTACAAAGTTTCTTTTGTTAAACTCAATTTTGTTAGTGATTTTGATGACTAATGAATAAAGAGGAAGACGAGGATGGATGTGGATTGTGAAGGCAGTTGCAACAAGCCAATAGGGCGCAAAGCCCAATGGATCCAAAAGAAAATCTTGTTACTTAAAATGATGAAAGTGTGTCCCCCCAAAAGAAAAACCGTATATGAGACTAATGATATTTGTGCTAGGTCGTCACTCGTTTTGATTAAGGCTGAATTTTCAATACTTGCATATCAGGAAAAAAAAATATAGGAATTATACTTCTAAATAAATCAGGTATTCTCGAAATAAAATCAATAATAATAAATATTGTAAAATAATATAAAAACTAAAAAATGAGAAAACATATATTGTGAGAGGTTTCTTTCTGATTAGAGCTTGATTTGAATAAAATTTAGGTCAGCATATATAGTGAATAATTCGTTAAGAAAATGGAAATGAAATAGGAATGTATGCACAATTTTCTTGTTCTCATTCGTAATTTTAGGCGCAACGTTTGAATACTTCAATTGTCTTTCACTGCATTTTAATATGGGACGATCACAATCAAAATTCTTTTTGAAAAAGTCATATTTATATTCTTTTAAAAAATTAAATTAAATTTTTTTTAAAATTAACAACTAAAATATACGAGAATTACTTTTTCGGTCTTAAATATAATATTTTTATACGGTTATAAATAGAAGACCTTTATACATACTAGTATAAGAATCTTATATTTAAGATTAGAGGAGTATATTAACAATTGTTTTTGTAAAAAGACTAGATTGTAATCTTTCCACTAAAACTGAATATTCTTTTCAAGGAGAAAAAAATCTCAGTGGACTCCAAAGTCCAAACCCAACCCCGTCTGGTTTGCCGTACGAGAGCCTAGAGTGTGAAGCTTACCATTGTACTTGAGCTCCATGTGCAGCGTAAATTGACAGGTGATGGGTCAAAAGGTAAATACGCAATAATTCAGAGAAAATTTGAGCAATTTACCCCAGAGAATGGTAGATTTTGCGGAAATTGAGAAACGACCCATCGTCCGACGAGGGAGAGACACGCAAGGCCTTTCCAAGGTCTTTTCTTTTTGCTTTTCTTTCCTTCCTTCCTTCCTTTTCTTCTCCGTACTCTTCAATGTGCATGTAAGCAAAAGAAAGAAACAGAAACAGAAGGAGAGAGAAAGAGAGGAGAGAGAAACAGAGAGTCCCACAACCGTCTGTCCTCGCTGCTCGACAAAATTGCCACCGCCAATAATGCTTGGGGCCTTTGAAACCAGACACACAACACACAACCCTCTCTCTCTCTCTCTCTCTCTCTCTCTCTCACCAACTCTCACAGTTTCATATGCATCATCGTCTGCCATATCTCTTCTAAATTTCCACCTTTCGTTTCTTACCACAATCCCTCTCCTCTCTGAATTCCCCCACCATTTCATGTTTTAACCTCGAGTCACTATTACCAGGCACAGCATTTATTGTGAGTTACGTTCTGCAGAAGAGTATGTATTGTTAGCAGCACATCAGAAACCAAAGGGATGTATGTAGATATTATTATGGGGTGTCCTTGTGCTTCTTGGGGATTACATTTATTATCTCTATTGTTTTGTTAGTATCATCACTCACATTCAGCAACTACTCTACGGAAGAATTTAAGATATCAGTTCAGTTCTGATGGAGAGGATTCAAGGACCCATCAATTCCTGTGTATGTTCGTTGTTGTTTACTTAATTTCCTTTGTTTTTGGTTTTCATACTTCATCATTTTTGCCTTTTTCTGGATAACCCATTTCTAGAATTATAAAACAGTACTGCATTTACTCCTCAAAATGCTTGGCATTTATTGCTGTGTGTGTTATTTTCCTGCAAATGTACATATGCGTCTGCATTCTGCACTGCTCTCCCTCTTTGCACATTCTATACTTGTTCCTCTTTTCTTTCTCCTTTTATTTTATCTGTTTGAAACTGAATCCCCAACCCCAATGGTTGAATGCTATATATTCTTTGCTTCTTTTAAGTTTTGCATTTATTTTTCTCACATTTTTTTAATCTTGTTGTTGCAGTTCTTTGGTGAGCATTTGGGAGTAAACTACTTCGAGCAAGGTCTGATTGAGAACGAGGATGAAGAAGAACTTTTGATATCACTATCGAATTTGGAGGATAGAATGCCATTTCTTGAGATGCTTCAGAGTGTGGAATCTCAAACCCCACAGCTTTTTCCCTTCAAAGACTCCACCTTTCAGTTTCAGACACTTGTAAACCAGAAGAAACCATGCGAAGAAGAGAGGAAAAAAACGTGCGTATCTAGAACAATAGAGACTCAAATTTACGCGCCACCAGAGCTAGAGAGCTGCGTCACCCACGATACGGTGGAGATGCCTTCGCGGTCGCCGGCGAAATCTGAGAACTGTAGGAGAAAGAGGAAGAGAACGAGACCAATCAAGAGCAAGGAAGAGGTGGAGAATCAACGCATGACCCACATAGCCGTTGAACGCAACCGCCGCCGTCAAATGAACGACCACCTTGGTGTTCTCAAATCACTCATGCCCCCTTCCTATGTTCAAAAGGTCATAAGTTTCTTCAATTCCCCTCGTTCAGCTTTTCTCATCGTAAAAATCTAATCTTTTTTGTCTCATAAATGAACGACCACCTCAGTGCGTTGGAACCCAGTTCTTCAAATTCAGTTCTTCTGCTTCCTCAATAATAAAAATGCTTCTTTTTTTCTTTTTAGGGGGACCAAGCGTCCATCATTGGAGGTGCAATAGACTTTGTGAAGGAATTGGAGCAACTTCTTCAATCCCTGGAGGCACAGAAAAGAATGAGGTGGACCGATGAAATTGGATTCGGCTATGGGACGACGTCGTCATGCGGAGAAGAATCAAACTTCGGTGAAGAGGTGAAGGCAGAGAACAAGTCAGAGTTTGCAGAAATACAAGTAACTGTGATTCAAAACCATGTGAACCTGAAAGTTCAGTGCAAGAGAAGAACTGGGCAGTTGGTGAAGACCATAGTGGGTCTTGAGGATCTTAGGCTAACTATTCTGCACCTAAACGTAACCTCCTCGCAGGCCTCCGTTCTCTACTGTTTCAATCTCAAGGTATTACTCTGTCTTTTCTTTTGATCTTTTTCTTCCTTTTTTTCCCAAGCTTTTGTTTTCAAATGGGGTCAACTCACTACTGTCGAATCTGTACTGTTCTGTGCTTCTGACTTCTAACCTAAGCCAAGCCTGGCTTCTCTTCTCCAACAATAATATCTTTTTCATTACAGAAATTTCAGCTTTTTTCATAAAACCGCCCTTTCTTTTTCTTTTTTTTTAGTGAATCATAAAACCGCCTTTAACGTTAGGATCAATAAGTGGGCTCTTGGTGGGGATTTGTTTGTTTTCCTCCATTTTTCCTTAAAATTTCAATTTTACATTTTGTTTTTTCATGATAAAAGTCTTGCGGACTCTCAGCATTTCTAACATGACATTCAAAATATCTGTTTAAAAAGGGGAAACGCATCGTTTTGGTCCCAATTAATACCCATTTGTTAACTTGGAGGTTTTTCTGTTCTCCGTGAACAAGAGCAACAAAGAATATTTGAAAGGTTTGTTTGAATAGGAATTCAAAACAGCTGATTAGTGAAGCGCAAATTTTGTTGATGAAAAAAGAGTTGATATTGATGAATGCAGGTAGAAGAAGAGTGTAAAGTAGTGACAGCAAGTGAAATTGCAGGAGCAGTGGAAGAGATGTTGAGGGCCATCAATGGAAGCTAGCTGAAGGGATGGGGCTGGCTGGGAGAGAAACGGGGAGCAGAGGGCACTGCTATTTTGTCTGCATAAGCCATGTGAATCATATGTATGAATCTCCATAATGAGAGAGAGAGAAAGAGACAGACAGATATAGTACACATGAAGGATAGAGAAGCCACCAGATAATCGTTGTTCTGCTCCTTAAATAGTGTCTCCTTAATTTAACTAAGCTCCTTCGTGTCTAATCCCCCCCCCCCTCTCTGTATCAATTGCTAGTAATATATCTGTTGCTTTGCCAAAATTGAATGATAGTGTGATACCCTTTTAAATGACCTCTTTTTTCCCCTCATTTATAAGTTCCCAACTCTTAAATTTTTTATGAGCACTGAACCTCTTTTATTCTTGCTAGCTGTGGTTGTTAAATCGGAGGTACCTAATTTGGATCATTTAAATTATTTTTAAATTTTAAAAATTTCATATTTCATAGATATCAAAAGATGACCCAGTACACAAAGCTCTCATTAAGTGGGGTTTGAGAAAAGATAGATATATATTTGTAGTCTTACTGTTTGCTGAAATTATATAAGAGAAAAATTATTGCATTTTAAAATTTCTAAAGAACAATGAAACTTTAACCATCATAAACTAAACGTAAACAATTAAATTTAACAGATAAGTCAAACAGGATCCCCTGAATTACATGACAAAATTACATATTTTCATCATCTAAATTCTTACATTACAAAAATGAAATTATTAAGAAGTAGTTCTGTAAGGACGGCAATGAAAGTAAAATCAAGAAAATAAATCTCATGTATATATTCTCACTGATGCATTATAACATAACAGCATGTAATTCAATTTAATATGTGCAAAACATAGATTTCCAAGAAAAAACAAATACAGTATTCTCATTTTGGCTTGCAGGTGAATTTTTTTAATAAAAAAGGGTGGATTTCTATGTGTGAATGAATAAAATGGGGAAATAATGGGGGCCACCATGGATGGCTAAGAAGAGAACAAGGGGAGGCTGAGAAACAGAGATAGTGATGATTAGAAAGATGGAGGAGGAATGATGATGCTCCCTTTCATATTTGACTTTTGGGTCATTATTCTTTTTTTTTTTTTTTTGGCGATGACTTTTGTGTGATTCTCATATTATTTGTCCGTACATTTGCAATATGACATGCTTCATCATTACTTGCTCTGCTCAACACTTTATGCTTCTCCCCTTTTAGCCAACTCACTAATTAAGGCGTTCATTTTATACGTCTACGCTCTTCATAGTTACAAGTTATACAAATTTTAATATTTGTTTATTTGGTTGTATATTTACGAGTTAAATTTATAGGACATGATTAAATCTTTTGGCCTCTCTATGTTTAAATATTTTTATTTGGCAAATTTCAATCTCCCCCTCTTTCTCTTCTCCTTTTTTTTTTTTTGGGATATTCCTCTATCTTCTATCGTTTTTTTTAATGGAGTTTAGAGAAGTATGGTTTTTTTTTTAATTAACACAGTGGAGCTGCAAAGGGAAAATTAGCGTGAATGATTAAGAGTTGTATATGTGTACACATATAAGTTTTGCCTGCATTGTACAATGAGTATTGTAAGATAAAAAAGCGTTGTTTATAGTTATCAATAATGTCTAGTGTAACACAATTATAAGCACACCCTTAAATATTTATTAAGTGTAAGATTGGAAGTTCAACCATTTATATTAATATGATAGGTACATGAGTTTTTTATATTATTTGCAAATTTCTCTTTATCTTATTTTTCAGGTGCACCGACATAAAAAGATTATGTGTAAAATTATATCAAAAAATATCAAAATGCTGGATTCACCTTCAAAATAAGCCCTAGAGTAAAATTGCATATTTATTCTTAATAAAAAAGTCACATTTTTGTTAATAAATGGATAAAAAATTAGAGATATATATATATATGTACGATATAATTATGTTAGTAAATGTATGAATTGCGGGTTGGAAAACTGACGTGTCGGGGATGCCGGGTCAGAGAAGAAATGACAGGAAATGAAAGTTGGGTAAAGTCAAAAACACTTAACATTGGTCATAGAAAATTTTATATATAACTTGCTATAAATTTTATATTAATATTTTGTGTTGATAATAATTCATAATTTCATATATTTATATTTTGACAAAGAATTTTTTTTTAGAATAAATTTTATGCTTGCATTCAGTCACAGAAAACTTAATTATACAATATTTACAAAATGAAGAAATCTTAGTATCAAAGGGGTGTGTCGTAATCTCCTACCCTTTTCATATGACATTTCGTGGAGGATAATTAATTTGTTCCTGTTTAAAAGACACTCCACCAATCTCCCTCGCGCGTGCGTAGATGCTCATATATATCAAACATAGGCTTACCCTGTAGCTCAAATTTCCATATGTACTAAAATCAGATTAAATTTAAATGATTCAGATCTTACTGTCAATGTTTTAATTTTTTTATTTCACCGAATAAAAAATATTTGGCCAACTGATACTTTTTAAATGAAGATTTAGTTTAAGAAATTTAAACAAAAAAAAGAATAATTCAAATTAAATCTAAAAAATGCACATGCCTCGTTCTCAAACAGTACCCACAATGCATATTTTACACTGCACAGAAATTAATAAATAAATCATGCTACTGCACTTGTATAAATAAATCATATAATCTTTGATGCTTCCTTCTGCTTTTCGCAGCTTGTTGTGCAGATCACATCAACACATTTCCCCAGCAGCTTTGCTTTCCTATTCCCACTGTGAAGGAAGCCAATTATAGATGTATTATGTCCACGAAAAAGGTAGAATTTAGAAATCTTAATTAATTTTCACCATCATAATTAAAATTAAATTCCCAAAAGGCCAAAGGCCACGACATGCTCATTTACCTTACTGGCTTCTAGGAGAACACATGGTAAAACATGTGGGATTTTTAAAGTCTTTTATTCGGCTTCTCGGTGTTAGCGAAAAAAAACCCTAAAATATTTTTATAATACTATTTACAAGTCACTTTTAATATATTTTTTAAAAAATTTCATTCACTCTCATTTAAAAATTATCAATTTTTCAATTTTATCTTTGTTCAACATACATTATACACATAGTATTAAATGAAAGATACTCCCTCTGTTCCTTATTATAAGAAACATTTGATGCTTATGGCATGTTCTTATATATAAGAGACACTTAAAAGTTGTCTCTATTTTTGTGTGTTGATTTCTATTTTACCCATATTTATTGTCTCAAACTCACATTCTCTCTCCTTTTCACTTCTCTTTCTTTGAATAATTTATCATTGTTCTCTCTCATGCTCTCTCTCCTTATTAATGAGGGTCTTTTTAGAAAAAAAAATTATATCTTTTACACATTGATTGTTCTTAACTAATTTTAACTGTTTTTTTATCAATATAATTCGGTTATTCGTCTCTTATAATAAGGAATGGAGGGAGTATTATTCTCTTCCTACCCTATAAATAGAATCAAAAGTTTTTATCTCTCTCTATCTTATAAGTAATAATAGAAGAGTATATAGCACGTAAATTCATGTATTAGTAATCCATAATACTAATAAGAATAAAAAACTTAAGCATACGAGTACGAGTATCTCAACTCCCTAAGCAACAATGCAAGTTGGCATTAGGCATCCTGGATTAACTCTGATCTAGACATCAATAAACTCAACAATAAGACATCTGTCTAAAGTTTAGTTTCATCGATAACTAAAATTTCCTATTTTTAAATACAGGGGCTAGGTCCCTGCTTCGTGAAAATTAATTAATTAGTTAACTTAATTATTTATAAAAATAAATATGTTGAAATTTTAAAATAATCATCTACATTAAAATTTACCTATATTAATGAAACCCTCTTTTAATATATTCAAGTAATAATAGGAATTATCTGTTTTTTTAAAAAATATTTTATGTTTTAGCATAGGAGGGAACGTATTTATGGAAAACGTTGAACCAACCTTTGAAATTCCCGACACATATTCCTGGCCGGTGATTACTTGCATGCAAAGGAAAAAAAATTAGGCTACGTTCCTATTAGGGTAACATGGACGGGACACCCCATGTTTTGAACAAAATACTAGTACTTTTTTAATATAAGAATTTGTTTAACTTTTATTTTGGTTTTAAATATAAGATATTAATTTATTTTGTCTCTGATATATATTTATTTTTTTTTTAAGATGGCTCTTGTAATAATAGTAATTCTAGCCAATACACTTAATTAGTAAGGATATTTTAGGAAAGATAACACCTATTTATTACAAATAACTAACTTAATTAATTTTTTTAATCTACTCAAATTAGTTAATAGCTCTTATATTAAAAACCGAAGGTAGTATATTACTTTGTGTGTCTTCTTCCCATTTTCCTTCGTTCTCTTCTTCATGCAAAGATAATTAAAATATTATGTCGATTCTGCTGTCTGAGATTGCCAAAGTCTTTTGACTATAGCTAGCTTTGTAGGGACGCATACTTCCATCATCCCCATGGTTCCAATTTATCATCACTAAGCTAATACTTACTCCAATTCTTATTATAAGTTTTAAATAATTAATTATTGGATCACAGATAACTAATTAAAATTAGTTAAAAGTAATAAATAGGTTAGAAATATATATTTGTTTATAAATATAACCTTATAATAAATAAGAAAAATGATAGAAGAGAATATGTAGGAAAATGTGATAAAAGAGAAATAATTAAGGACAATGTTAAAAAAATGTATTAAATATTAAAAAAAACAAATTAGAACTTGTAAAATGGACAACACTTCCTCATAAATTTAAAACTTATAAATATGATCGAAGAAATATTGATTCATATATATAATATCAACCTAATCTTAACAACACTTTTGTTTTCGGTTTTTAATGGAAGAATAATATATAGGATGAGAATGTTCTCCCTCTCTCCTTTTTCCCCCCTAAAATGAGAGGGGCGGAGTGGACACTGATATCAACATTCAACATGAGATTACTAGCAAAATCATACTCGTGACATTCTATTTACTAATTCAACATGAAATTACAAGCAAAATCGTACTCGTGACATTCTGTTGTACACATTATTTTTGCAAGAAAACTTTCATGTCACTATACTATAACATGATTAACGACTATCTATATGTCATAAATTTAGGGGGAAAAGGTGGTGATTTGTGTTGCGGGGGTAACCAGGAAAGGAAAGCATAGAGAGGAATGAAGAAGTAGAATAGAATACTAAAAACAAGGATGAGGAGCGGCATGCATGCAAACACATGTATGGATCGCAGGTTTTTGTCATATTATTTGAAATTCAACGACAGCGTACAAGAAATGTGGTTCCTAGTTCCGAAGCAAACTCTTGTAGATGGAGGCAAACAAACACAGTACGTAGTTTAGCTTGCTGCTTCAAATTCCAACGTCAGACAAATTCTCCCTCTCAGTCTCACTTTTCTTTTTCTGGAGAACTTCAATACCTACATGGATTTATTATTTATTTCTACTGTTTGTACGTACTTGCTGTCGTGTGTACTGTATATGCGTGACTCTGTAGCCTAATTGACCCCTTCATCGCTTTCATGATTCTTTTAAGAAGGAAGAAGAAGAAAAGAGGGTCAAAACCAGTGATGGGTTAATCTTTTGACTCTGATCCCTGAGCCTGAGGTTTCGTGAAGTTGGATGGCGGATTCTAATTATGACGTTTGCAGATCGCTGGCAGAGATTCACAGAGTCCTCCCTTCTCTCTTTCCTTTTTGATTTTCAGGGAAAATAAAAGGTTTAATATGATAATAATATCTTTAAGCCTCATAAACTTCTAATATGGTAAAATTGTTCCAATTATCATGGCGAATTAGTAAATCAAAATCAACCATAAATCTCCATTGTCAATTAATTTGGCTGAAATTAATATTACGATCAAGAACTGAATAAATAATAGCACACCAGACTCCATTTCTTGTTTATTGATGATGGTGAGAAAGAGAAGATGGATGAGATTGGAAGAAATAGAAAAGAGCTGGAAAAGTGGTGCAGAAAGTGGAATCAGAAAAAGAAGGGTTTGACCAGATAAGGTCAGAATGAGATCACTGGAGATTGGGAGTTCGTGCACTCAGTCATACTGTTGCGTTCTTCCCTTTTCAAATCATTTTACAATTTAATGTATGAGTATATCTCTTTTTTACTCCAAAAAATAGTTATTATTGTTTGGAATAATGTAGGTTATTGAAAAAATACTAAAAATTCATATTATTTAAAAATTTGATTATATTTTAATAAAATATTTGTGTTTTCTTAATTAAACGGCCCAGTGCATGTGTATGAAATCTAATATAAGACGCACCAATCACAATTTTTGACTAATACATCTCTATTTACTTGTTTTTATAGTAAAAATAGAGGTCAAAGAGAAAACAAAATCTATGCATATATTTTTTTTTCCAATGTTGGCTTGATGGTATACTATTTTTAATAGGGATGTTATTAAAAACAAGTAATAACTACACATTGAAATTTGGAACATGTTTGAATCAAAACATTTTCTCCACAATTTGCTTCGATTGATGAAGTGTGCAAAGCATAAAAAAGTTAAATTACATGTATATGCATATAAGATTCAGAGGCCTGGGTCCAGGAACCAGATTCAAACGTTATTATAACCTCATGTCAAATCAGAACGATTCAGCGAATTATTCAATGATTATTTCTGTTATGAGGTGAAGTTTATTGATGGAATATTCTGAAGGGAATCTTGATTGTTTGAGAAAGAAGTCTCCAAATAATTAGGGGCCGGATTTTTAAAAATGTGGGCCCTATGTGAACAAAAATATAATTTACTCCAGCTTTCTCAGTAGACTGAACTTTAAAAGTTCTTGAATTCATGTAATATTACCAAGGACTTCAAAAATATAATGGAAATCTCGAAATCCCTTGAATTCAAAGGAAATTTTGTATGTGAAATGAAGGTCAAAATTTGACCCCTTGTTTAGTTATCCCCCTCTCTATTGGTATTGAAATTAGGTGATATTTAGTTGTCGTGTAAAATATTTAGGTAAGCTGAATTTTGCAGATTTACTAGAGCCAGGACAAAAGCTTATGACTTGAAAAATGCTTACCAATATATATATATATATATATATATATTTCTAAATTATTTATTAACAAGTTTTTGATTGGCATCAAGATTTAAACCTTCGCATTTATGAATATAACCGATATTATTATCAATTAAACTAAGCTTCATTGGGTATTTAGGTTTGTTTTATATATTTTTGGCCGAAGAAAGGTATATTTTAAGTGATTAATCTCCAAAAAAGAAGTGCAAGCAAAAAAAAAAGCGTGTCCAAAAACCTCATTTTTTTAAAATACGAAAAGCCCACTGTAGGCATAGGCTTAGATAACTAAGAAATCTATGCCGAAAAGCCCATCGCTCTTGGCCCAAATGCCTCTTCGTCACATGGATTCTCCTCATCGTGCTCTCTCTCTATCTGCGCTCTTGACCAAACCGTTATAACTTCCAATGTGTTGGCTGGAGATGTTTTATTTTTATGCTTCTGATTCAGATATTTTGATATTTGTCGTTTTCTCATTTCTGGTTGCAATATCACCCAATTGTTCTGCTACAAAAATATTTCTCTCAAGTTATTTACTTTTTTCATTAACCTTTTTCTTATACCGGATGAATAAAATTAGTTATCGATTAACATGGACCTTTTTTTAAAATCTAAAAATACAAGATATGTTGTTGGTTTATAAAATTATTGTTGACGTCGTCTTCATTTGACACGTCAAATGTGTCCTTAAGTTAAATTCATATAGATTAAGGTAATAATCCAAAAGAAGAAGAAGATGGATTTTATATGGTGTTGAAAGCGTCCGACGTGGCGCCTTTTATCCAAGAAGATCCCATATAAGCCCAATCGCTGAGCTTTGTCAGCTCAGTACTATATCCAAATGGAAGAATTGAGTGGTTCTGATCTCCATATTCCACTTTTCAAATTATCCCATTCAGATTCACACCCTCTTCAACCTAATAATAATAATAATCTCTGAAAAATTAAGAAACACATGATCTATATCATGAATATAGTCAAAAATCCAAAACTAGAAAGCTGCAATAAATACTCGTCGTCGTCCCTCATATCTTAGAAAGTCCTCCGAGTACAGCTAGCTAGCACTGTCAAATCACAATAATGGCTTCAACTTCATCTTCCAGTCTCACTTTATCATCTTCTTCCAACACCATTGTTGATCGCAGAGCTCCCAGAAACTCATCAGCTCCTTCTTCTCCACAATGCGTCAGCATTCCCCCTCTCGCTCCTCCTGCCTCCCTTCCCTCTCTCATCCCTCCATGGAAGGCCACTGCTTACTGTATGTTATAGTGTTTACTGATATCTCTGCATGTGCAAAGATTGCGATCTGACATACTATCTCCTCCGGTCAATATGAGAGCTGATTTAAGACTGATATTTATTTATTTTTTTTAAGATTTTTTTTAATAATAATAGTTCTAACTTATACATTTAATTAGTCATTTAATTAGAAAAAATATTTTCGAAAAGTTAACATCTATTTATTACGGATAACTAGTTTAATTAGTTTTCTTAATTTATTTAAATTAGTCAGTTAATTAAGAGCTAGTGTATATCTATATATGTATATGGTGTTGGCCGGTGATCATTGATAGATGACGACGATTTCAGGTCGCAAACTTGCTCGGAATGTTATGGCTATGGCGACCGGAGAGGCTTCCACGGAGGTGGCCATCACGACTGAGCCGCCAGAATTTCTCAAGACTGTTCAGGAAACTGTAAGTGACGTAAGGTATAATGGCACATGCATGGAATTTGGTTAGAATATAATATAATTTAGTTGAAGAATTGGATGAATAGTGGGAGAAGATTGAAGATAAGTATGCAGTGAGTACAGTGGCTGTGGCTGGAGTGGTTGCTTTGTGGGGCTCAACTGGTGTCATCTCAGTACGTTCTCTCACAAGAGCTCTAATTAAGTCAGCGTGATTAATTAGTAATTAATTAATTAATTAAACTATTAATTGTGTGTATATAATTATTGCAGGCAATTGATAGGCTTCCTTTGATTCCTGGAGTTCTTGAGGTCGTTGGCATTGGCTACACTGGGGTATGTAATTATTATTAATTACGCCTAGCTAGCTCCCGCATGTAAATAAAAGTAGGATTAATACAAACTTTGATCTTTTAAACTTGCCCTCATTTTAATTTTGGTCCGTCAAATTTCAAATAATAGGTTTTGGTTCCTTAAGCTTCTTTTCATTTAAAATATTGGTCCCTATAATCTAATAAAAACTTGAATCATTTTACCTTTTGAAGGACCAAACCTATTGTTTGAAATTTGAGAGATTAAAACCAAAACGAAAACAAATTTAAGTGATAAAAAATTATATTAACTCTAAATTTTTTAGATTGACCTTAATAATTTTGAGAAAACTACTCATTATTTTTTCCCCCAAAATATTAAGTTATCAAAGTAAGACCTGAGGCAAAGTCAAGAGATAAAATTAGGCATGAACAAAATTTAAAGATATACACAAATGAAACGAGAGGTATATTACCAGGCCAAATAGAAATTCAATTGCATTGGGGCCGAAAAACTAGACTACAATATAAAAAAAATAAAATAAAATGAGCCTCGCCTTTCCCTTTTCCCCCTCTTTGATCACTTTAAGTAAAATTATCCTATGAAATTCTTTTTCTAAGAAAAATATTCTTATAAAACCTAACTTCATCTTCCCTATCTGTTTACAGTGGTTTGCATACAAGAACCTAATTTACAAGCCGGACAGGTAATTGCGATTTATCTTGAATAATAATTAATCATAATCCGGTTCAATATGACGCGCATTGGCTTTTGATTGTCATATTTCGCATATATTTAATTTGAATATTGTTATGCTAATTATGTCACTAATGATTAAACTTATCGAGCGGAATTGCAGGGAAGCTTTGCTGCAAAAGATAAAAGACACGTATAATGAAATAATTGGGAGCAGCGGCTAGACTTGTAAGTAAATGTATTCTACACGATCAAATTAATAATGTGGTTAACTCGTTACGATCAACGTAACCATGCTTCATTTTGTTAATCCTAATTAGGTGTCTGTAATAATGACCATAATTTGTATATTAAAAATAAATGCAACTTTTTATTTTTATGTATTTTACATTTGGGTTAAGTTTATTATTTCGTTGAACGATTAAAATGATTTATGTTTCAACCATGATTTTCTTGTTAGTTTATTTTTTATTAAAACATAACGCAAGAGATAAATGAAAAACTTCCCCAAAAAAAAAAAAGCTAAGTCATTTCTTAATTTATTTCACAGAAGTCTTGGACTTCATTTTTTGAAGTATTAACTCTGGCTGACTGGCTCATTCAAGGCAAATCTAATAATAACTTTGTCAAATGAGGCTTAATTAAACAATTTTTTTCTAAAATGAAATGAGAACTCGAATGAAATTTAAGGCTTTTTGACAAGGCAATAATGAGAAACAAGTATAAATAACAAAACTGTATTGGTCAGACAATGTATAATATATAATTTTACACAACTGATACTAAAAAATATTGGAGATGCCGCAAGTCGAAGATGCCGTCTAATTAATCTGAATATTGCTATACTTTACTAGTAGTTTCTTGTCCATGGAATCTTGTCCAATTCGATGTTTAAAAGTCAATTAACATACTATTATTTTTAGTCCTTAATGTAAAATCAAATTAACTAATTTAAGTAAATTAAAAAAGTACATGTTATATGATTTCTCTAAAATATTTATATAGATCATTATGTTATATATCAATTTATAAGTGAGACAAATTAATTTAGTAATTTTCTTAATCTACTCCAATTAATCAACTGGGTTTTGTATTAAAAACTATAGGTAGTAATTCAAATTCAAATTGAAGACAATAAGTTTATTGACTTCTTGGAGCAAGAAATAGTAATTCATGAAACCGAGGGCGCACTGACAAGAAAATTCAAAGGTAAACGACCCTAGCCCTTTAGAACAAACAAAGGGAGAAAGAAAAAAGATGCATATGTATATGTTAAAAGAAGTGAGACTCATTTGAATAAAATCTTAATTATATATAACCACTCTTGTTATATTAAAGCGACATTATGTTATTTACTTGTAGAACTCCATGATCCAGAATCCACAAACCCGACAGACGAATCGAATCCCAGGGAACCCGGAATGAGCAGCCAAATCCAGGAATTGCTTCTGGGTTCGTTCTTTGCCTCCAGGATTCTGGGTCATCATGAATGCGTCTGCCTGAAGAGCCGTTTGGACAGCAGGAGTAGTGTTTGGTTCATCGGGCAGAATCGCGTCCACTATAATCACTTTTCCATCGTCTGGAATCGACCTGTGGCAATTCTTCAACAGCTTCACGCATTGTTCATCGCTCCAATCATGCAGTATCCACTACAGTACAACATTCCATGTAACTTTTGTCAACTTATTAGTTATTATGTCAATTCCCAGAAAGGCCAATTAGTATAATCTGTGGGGGACTGGGACCCATATTATCGGAAGTGGGACCCATGGCCTTCAAGGTATGTGTAATCTGGGCTCATTTGCGTTATCTATTCTCACTAATTATTGATGCTGATAAGGCACAGTGTTAGTTGTTGCATCCATCCCACCGTCCACTTTGAATTGACGCCTCAGATTTAAGAATCTATTGGGCTGGGCCCACCTCAAAGTTGGCTTCGTTTTCAAGCAAGTAGTGCGATTAATCAAATCAGATTTTTTGTGTTCGGCAGAATGCACTGAGCATTTGCATTGGTTTAGTTGCTTTTTTTTTCCCCCCAATTATTATTCAATGAATATAATGCACAGTAAAATATGATTAACTGCTAATTTTTTTAAAAATAATTAAATTAAATCTTACAAAAATAGGATGTTTAAATTATGTGCATGCGCGCTTTATTATTATGGTAAGAAATTTCATATCAAAAAATGAATAGAAGTAAACTCCAACTTGATTTTGTGCACGGTGCAGATAATAACGTGATTTTTAAAAAAAAAAATTTCACTTAAGAGGGTATCTGGATTCCTGTAAAAGTGTTTCTTAAACACACTTTTCGTAAATCGAGACAAATTTCTTCACATATTTATTTTGAATATCGTAAAATCACTTCTAAAACCATAACTTCGTTTCTACCAAACATCTACTGAGTCTATAATGTAACAAGAACTAAGAAAAAAAAAAAGATTTTAATCCTCATTTAGTGGTGGTTGAGGTGAAGCTATGGCTTGATTTTTAATTTTCTAAAGTTAATTATTTGACAAAGAAATAAAGATGGTTTGGCTATCCAAGTATGATAACTAAAACACGAAAATTGAAAACAAGAATTTATTTAGAAGGGGATATATATTGGGAGAATTATAATGAGATCTCAAGAAAAGAAAATAATTATAACACAAGTCTCAGACTCACTTTGAAGTTGTTATTAAGACTTTTTAATATATTTTTTAAAAAACTAATTGTAATTATATATATATATATATATATATAGTTCCTTGAGAAAAGCTCAAACTCACCTTCATAAAAATGGCTTGTCCTTGAGGAACACTCTCAAACATATTTCCTCCCACATGCTGCACACCTGCAACACAAAGTTTAAATAAGTTGAATTAAAATCTTCCAATATATATGCAATTTCATTTTCTTTTTTTGAAATCAATGGATAATAAAACAGTGATGAAAAGATTAAAACATACGAGGGTAGGTAGGGGCATTTTGGATGACATGAGGGAGGTCAAAATTGATGCCCTGTATGTGAGCATACTTGGAGGTGATCAAGTTAAGGTTGATGCCAAGACCACCCCCAACATCTACGACTCTGTCGAGTGCCTCAAATCCATCGTAGAATTTAAGGATGTTGCTCATTATCAGAATTGTCGAATCATGCATTCCCTTGTTAAACGCATCGTTGAACCTCCCATCTTTACTAGGATACTCAAACGCATGCATCCCATGTGCTCTGTTAAATGCTATCCCTCCTTCCTTTATCGCTCCCTTCAGCTCCCTCCTGTCGATTTAATCCCAAAATTCAGATGATACTAATTTTATGATAATCCTAAAGAACACAACTTTTTTAGTTACCAGCTTTCCAGGAAGACTCTGTCTTGGGCCAGGGACAAGAGATTTCCCATAGAGACGCCATTAGCATCCGACACGAAGTACTTAGAAACCGGGGAGAGACTGTAATTCCTCTGTGTTGTTCCTTGTTGGTCGTCGACGAGGGAGCAGTGAAGCACAGAGTGGCTGGCCAGGAGACTAAGGAGACGATCGAGCATTGTTGGGGCTTCTGGGTTCTTGCAGGATACCATGGCGGCGATGTCCTTTGCAGAGAGGCTTGCGCCCTCGCCGGCTCCGGCGATGGCATCGAAGACGCCGAGCTCGAAGGCGGCTTGCAGAGACATGGAGAGAACGGAGGAGGAGGCCAGCTGCATGGCGGAGATGAAGCTTTCTTCGTCCTCTTGCACGTGCCCTGCGCGTGGTTGTTTGAGGTGGTTTGATTCGCCATTGGTGAGGATGGAGTCGGATTTCAAGGAAGGAGCCATTGGAAAGAGAAGAGGAAGAGAGATTTACGGAGTGTGGTCGGGGCGGATGAAGAAGATGAGATGAGGGCATGTATTTATAGCGATGTCTTGTTAATAAATAAAAATAAAATAAAATTAGGGAGTAATAAATAATATTTGACTTTATTACGTATTTTTGTGGGAGGGGATCTGAGAGTGTTAACGACGCCTTGTCTCACTACTATTTCATGCTCACCGACTACGCATTCTCATTCTCTTCTTCAAATTTTTAACGATTTTCCATTGGGTTGTTTAGATTTTCTTCATAATCAGAAACACTTCTTGTTGGCAAAAAAAAAAAAAACACTTCTTATTTTGCGTCTTGTTATTAATATATGATAATGAATTCCGTCGGGCTATGGGAGGGAGGTGAAAGAAGGTGAAAGGGAAGAAGGAAGGGGCTGCTGGCATGTGGGGGAACCAAGGTGGGAGAAGATGAAGGGGGAGGGGGAGTCCATATCATCATTGCTCAGTTTGAAACATGTCACGGGTGTATGGGGAGGGTGGTGAGTGACGGCAAGGAGGAAGAGAAAATGAGAAGTTAAAAATAATGGAAGGAAGGGGCAAGTGTTTTCGAATTAAAAAGAAAATATGAGGTAGAAAGAGAAGCAAATAGAGTTTTATTGAGGATAGGGTAGATGATATTTTTTTTAAAAAAATAATAATTACTGTGATGTTATCTTAACAAATTACTATATAAAATATAATCTTAAAAATATACACACACACTTTTATAACGCTTCCTTAAAGAAGTGTTACAACAAGTATTATTCATGCCGTAACGTTTCCTTCAAAAAGTGTTATAATTATATTATTTTTTAAAATATAAAATAATATATAGAAGCTACAGCGTTTTGTGACAAAAGTGCTACATAAGATAATTATTTTTTATATATAGTACTTTCTTTAAAAAGTGCTATAGTGTTTAATATTTTAAAACATTAAAAATATATATACAAGTTGTAGCATTTAGTTAAATAAGTGTTACAAAATGTGTTACTTATTTAATTTAGCTGTTGTGGTGCTTTTTTGTAGCGTAAGTATCTCCTCTCCTGTAGAGTGTTTTTTAAGTAAACACTACAGGAAGCATTTATATATTTTTTTAAAGAAAAAGAAGATGTTGTAGTGCTTTTTCAAAAAAGTATTATAACAAATATCTACTCTATTGTAGAGTTTTTTTAACCAAGTGCTATGCACAGGAGCTATTTATATAATTTTTTTAAAAGGAAAGGAGATTTTGTAGCGCTTTATTAAGAAAGCGCGGCAAGTATCATAGAAGCTATAGCACTTATTTAAAAAAAATGCTACAAAATATGTCTTTTTTGTTTAATAAATTATTGAGTATTAGCTGTAGTGTTTTGTTAATAAATGTTAAAAACAGGCACTGTAAATCAAATATTGTATAATAGTAACTTAGGAATAATTGATTCTGGCTTGTTACGCAGGGCAGGACAAGGGGAAAAAAAATATGGAAAGAGCATAACAGACGACGAAAAAAGAAAATCGACGAGGAAGGATTCCCATATTTCTGACCATACATGTCATCATAAAATTGAACAAATAATTGGCCTTGATTCGATATTACTTTCCCAGAAGAACGCATGTTCTACGATAATGTCAAGCTCAATTGTTCATTTAACATATAAACAAATTAAGAATCAATAAAAAGAAGTAAAAGCATATCTTTTCCGCCTGAAGAAACATTTGCCTTTGGCCGGCATTATTTGACCCTCGATGCCTAACAGTGATGAAATGCCAAACACGTTTTCTAGAAGCACGTACACGTATACATAAACTACTACTTCTAGTTTTAAATATAAAAATTATTTAACTAATTTAAATATATTAAAAAAATAAGTTAAGTTAAATATTTGTAATAAATGTGTTATCTTTTCTAAATTATTATTGATAATCAAATATATTAGCTAGAACTATTATTATTAAAAATATTATTCTAAAAAAATTAATAAATAATATCTATTTGAAATTAAAATAAAAATCAAATAAAGAAAAAAAAAACCTTGGGACAAAGCTTCTGTGCTGGACGCGAATAGCCGCATATTTTCGGTGTAACTAATGATTATTCTATGTATGTGCATGCTTCGTGTCATTTTAACTAGGCATTAGTTAGCACAAAACTGGCGTATACAGACGCGCTCTTTAAGGCTGTTTGGTACACTCACAGCGTGCCAACACTATAGTTTGATAGAAATTATTGTCCTAATTATTACTATATCTGATTTTTAATATAAAAATAAGTTTGATATTTAATTTAATTTTAAATATAAGATTTTAATCTGTCTTCTCTATCATATTTATTTATTTTTTTAAGTAGTCATTATAGTAGTTAATTACACATATTAAATATTTCGTCAAATAGTATTTTTAGATAATATATATTATTAGTAATGATATTTTAAGAAAAACAACACTTATTTATTATAAATAATTAATTTAACTAATTTTTTTAATTGATTTAAATTTGTCAACTAACTTTATATTAATAACCGAATGGAGTCGTACACAGAATAAATAAAAATATAGAACGGGTACGGATTCATGTTACATTTTGTAGGCATGATTCAATCGCAATCTTATATTTTTTTAACGGCGATTGTTTTTTTTATGTCGTCAAATAAAAATAATTATAATTGAAGATTAGTAATATGAAGATAATAAATACTTTTATGCTGGTATTTAAAAAAAAGAGATACTCCTCTAGTTTTTAATATAAGACCTATTTAACTAATTTAATTAGATTAAAGAAATTTGGTAAGTTAGTTAATTATAAGAAATATGACATATTTTTCTTAAAACACCATAATCATCTTCTTTAATATCCCCCTTTCTCTTTTACTTGATTACTCTCTCTGTTCCTTATTATACGATCTAATTTTTTGAATGAATTTATCCTTTTTTATAAGATCCTATTTAAATTTGTCTGAGTATTTAATGAGTGTTGTCTATTTTACCCCTAATTTAATGTATTTAATACATTCTTCTTCTTCATTTATCTCACTATTACTCTCTCACATTTATCTATTTATATATAAGGGTTTATTTGGAAAAAAAATGTATTTGCTACATATTAATTGCTTTTAACTGTTTTCTTAAACCTCGTAATTTAGTTAAAAAGATCTTATAATGGACAGAATAGTATGGTTGAGGGAATATTCATATGAGTAACTTAAAAAAAATTGATAAATATAAAAAATAAATTTTATATTTAGAACTAAAATTAACTTAATAATTAAATACTATATTAAAAAGCGAGGAGTAATAAATACTTTTATGGTTACCCAATGCTCCTGCGAGCTAGCGCCTGGCCATGAGTCTGAAATTGTTGTCCAATGAATCCAACCGAACATAATGAGATCATCTTGCATGTGTAAAGTTTGGGTGCATGTTAAAAATCGTCACTGAAATCAAACTGTTTTTGAGGTTGGTAAATTTGATAAACATATCGGTTAAAATTAGTTTAAAATAAGAAAGAGATAAAAATATATTTTTATTTCTAAATATGCTTTACAAAAAAAATGAAAGAGCCTACGAGCAAAAATAAGATGAGAGAGGGTGTGACAAATAAAAGATAATAAATAATTAATTTTTTTTTAAAAAAATAACTATCGAGATAAATCTAAATTAAAACTTACAAAATGTGCTATACTTTTCTAAATTAGACGTCTTGCGGTGTTTTACGTAGTGTAACTGTAATGTTTTGTTTACTTATGTGTCTCTATTTCTATCCCTAACAAAAAAAAAATCCTCAGTAATTAAACAAAACATTACACTACATAAACCCGCTTTAAAAAAAAAAAAAACCTCAGTAAATCTCAGGGCGTGAAAGTTCTGTTTCGGCCACTGACCACTGGTTGTTTTTTCTTTTTCTTACACACAGAGACATTTTGCAATCAGCAGGCCGTTCCCCCCCCCCCAAACATAGGTAACTATTAGAGGCAATCCTATTTGAGGCACTATCAGATACTAAATGTGAGTACCTCTCTTAGTGAGGATTTAAATGTTGATTCGCCACATTATGAAGGACTAGCTCCTTCTACTAGACTTAACTCTTGCTGATTAGGCTGTTTTGCTATTTTAATAACTAAAAATGTTAACAGTATATTGTCTTTAATAAAACAAAAAATTGTATTGTGGGTTGATCGGCCTCACAAACAAGACCATTATTCTGAGATTGAAAACAATACAAGCGCATATGCCGTCTGCTTGGGCTACTAGACCTTGGGTTGGGCCTTGGACATTAGACCTTCAAAATGTTCATCTCATATCCCCGCCTTTCTTAGCCACGTATAAAGCCAACGGTCTATATCATGCGATTTCGATGTGTTGCAACTTGCAAATCGCTTCCATGGAGTCTCCGTCCGCTCTTATCTCTCTCACCTGCAAGTGGTATTTCATACCTCATCAAATGCACTGTACAACGAAGTGGAGGGCTTGTTGGGAATCATAGTGGGAGACTTCAAAAATAATTTTTTAATTGTAATTTACTGAATATGAGATTGACTTATGTGAAAATACTTTATAGTTCTATTTGGTATGAAGCATTGAAAATGAAGGATAAGGACTAAGATTGCAATTAAAAAAAATCATCAAAAAAGTAACATGAGTAATTACTTATTACATGGGATTAAGCAAATCCATAGATGTAAAATTAGGGAATACCACTTCCCCCATAGTATTCCTCAATCACGCATATATGGGTTTGTCTAATCTTACGTAACAAGTAATCTCCCATACTAAACACTATTTTTCCAGTCTTAATCCCAATACCTATCATTTATTTTTAATATTTCATACCAAACGGTACCTATAACTACTTATGATGAATAGATGCAAAAGCCTGAAATCTTATATGGGTGTAAATGTGTAATAGATGTCAGTCGTATGCAAAAGCCTGAAATCTTATTTAGGCATCTTCAATTCTGAAAAACGTGAAGGTCGAATGCTTCAATTGAATCCACAACTGTGATCAAGATGTTTAGAAACAAATGTTGATTTAAAAGAAGCAGAAA